TTTCTGTGACAGGACAAAAGACGAATCAATATTGAGAAGATATCACATTATATGGAAATCAAAAAATTATCGACGAGAATTTTGAATTTTTTAACAGGAATGACACCTGCACAATCTTTTTGCAGGAATCTTCATCATACTTTTGAAGTAATCAAATATTTGTCATTCTAATTCTGTGAATTGATTTCGAAAAAATTGCGAACTAAGTGGTTGATTAGTAACTGGAAGATTAAAAGCGATTAAAAGACTTGCAGTTCTTTCTCAGAGACGGCATCGTCCACCAGTAATATTGGTGGACGATGGAGACGATGTTATGGCTTATTTTTCTAACTAGCTCAACAAAACTAACTAACCTGTCAACAGAGATGGAAAGTCAAACTTTTTCCCAATCACAGAACAAAAACTCTTCAAACCATTGAATTCGTTTTCTATTTCGAGAAATTGGATAAAAATGGCGGAGCTATGGCTTTCAACGTTTTTCCATAAGTCCTCCTGTATTAACTGATTACAGCTTTGAAAGTGTCCATCGTTATTTTGGTTCTTCTTTTCTCAAATTAGAATGAAAATGAGCGAGATATAACTCATTTCAATTATACCCAATACCCTTCTTATTAGTTGAAGGAAGTTTAATTTTACGGGTATGTTTATTGTTATAGGTCAACACGAGGTCAAGATAAAAATATTTTATATTTGTATATTTTTCCATTTTTTCGTTTGAATACGGACAAACTGATAAGATAATGTTAATGCATCTATTGACTTTCGTTCGTACATGTGCAAGGTTTTTTTCATACATTTGCGTCACTCACTATGATATTATCGTTTCTTTGAGGTATAAGTATATACGCCAAAAACAACTAAAAATCAAAAAAGTTGAGCGAGTTTCTCTGAATAATCTTAATTTTTCATAATTTTTATTTCTCTATTGTCTGAATCATCAGACCACCAAAACTGAGCATTGCAACAGTTCGCTTCAACGGTAAAAAATTTGAAATTATCTATAATTTTTAATCAAGTAGTTGCAGCCGGAGAGACATTTATTTGTTTACAATGTGAATTTGAATTGTGAAGTGTTTGTTGCTTTGGGTAGACTCAATAATAGCCGATCACAAAAGCGCAAATACTAAACTGATTTCACTGATATAATCGATGTACAAAATCTCCTTGATTATTTTATCTTTTCGATCCCACGGAAGGGAATCCCTATCATTTTCTTGGAACGTCGTGCGTATATGCATGTATACGGAGAGAAGGTTTAATCTGACGGGGAGCAATTGGAGAGTTTTTCAATCTCTTGGAGCGCACGAAAGGAAATTCGTATGATTTGGATTTTTTTTCAACTCTTAATTATGTCGATGTTTACAAAAAAAACACAATAACATGATGGTCTTCGAATTTCCGAATATAATAAAATATAAAACATAATAAGATAATAATCTTTGAGTTTTTGAATAATAATATGATAAATAATAAAACAACCTATAAGAGAGAGGACACATTTTGAGAGAGGAAACACATTTTTTTTAGGTGATTTGGGTTGCATATTCGTATTTTGAGCTCAAGATTTTATAGCTGGAATTAGGGTTGGCATGAATTAATTCATATGAATTGACTCAGTGATTTAATTCGTGAATTAATTCCATTGACTTTTTTCGAAAAAGTCATGAATTCATTCAAATTTTCAAAAATGAGACAAATTGCACTATTACCTTTGATTTTAACTAGTTTAAACTGAAAAATTCGATCGTATTTTGGCAAGACTTTGTTATTTCAAGCATGACATAGATTTTTACTAACAGATATATACAGTATCAAGTATCATCCATAAAGTCCATAACATATGAGAACATGTTTATTATCACAGCATCGAATTTTTTTCTCTCGGCGATCCATTATGCATATCCGATAACTTGAAAATCGATTTTGACACATGTCACGTGATCACTGGTATGGCAATAAATAAAAATAATACTATAAAGCGACGAAAAGTGGGGTTAGATAACAAAATATCCATAAACATTTATTTTTAACTTGCTATTCCACATTCAGTTTCGAGCAATTTTTGGAGGAGAATTAGAAATAGCTATATTTTTTCGAATATTCTTCAATTTTGTTACAATTCTCTTTTTTTTCTGACAGTAGCGATGTTGATGATGTACAAGTTGAATAGAATTCAATTTCATGCTCACATATGGAGTTTCCAGCCATTATTTGAGATAACTGAAAATAACAATTTTTATTTTTTAAAATAACTTCATCTTCCCATCTAACCCCACTTTTTGCCATCGTAATTTTTTGAATTTACCGCCATACCAGTGATCAAGTGACATGTGTCAAAATCGACTTTTAAGTAGTCAGACATGCATAATAGATCCCCGAGAAAAAATGTTTCGATATTCTACTAATAAACTTTTTCTCCATGTGTTACGAACTTTATGGATGATACTGGATCTATATGTATCTATTATTTCGTATTCTAATCATCACTTTTAATTTTGTTTCGAAAAAATGACATGTTATATCATGATGTTATTTTACAAGATTTCTGAAGGGAATAAAAACATAGTTTTTTTGTTTCTTTTTTTCTATTTCGCTTTGGGTTCATAATTTGTTCGTTTTTTTTTTCAAATGAATTAATTCAAAAAATGCAAAAAATCGGACTTTGTTGACTTTTTTATAAAAGTCATGACTTATTCCAACCCTGGCTGGAATATTTCTACCAAGAAATGTCAAATCGAAGGAATTACATAATATATGGGTACCTATTTCCTTGAGGAAAAAAAGTACTAGATTTTGAATTTCGGTAGATATTAGCAGTTATATAACTTACTCAGACTTATCACTAGAATAACTTGACGTTGACGAGATTCTTCTTCTTTCATAAGCCAACACTGATGAGACTGACATTTTAATGCTTTCGATATACCTATTCACTTTCTGATGGTCTTACTCTCGTTTTTTTAGACAGAAATTTAGTTTTGACGATTTGCCCACTAAAATTCGACTGAAAGCACCATCTGATATCTGATGAAATCTTCAAATACCAATCTCATTCGTGTTTTTCGATAAATATCAATCAGATAACACCATCAGGTGGTGATTACCTATGTATATTTCACAATCCACGAAATCAAGCTGAAATTCTATAATTTTTATCAGAGTTCGAGAGAATTTTGTATTATTTTTTTGCTGCTTAGAACTCAGCTATTTTTCTGAATCCAACTTTTCTGAATTTCTCATCACAAGTTGATGTTCGACACCACATTTTTCTTGTTATTTCTTCAGATATTTTGTAGCGAAAGTGAGAATTGTCAGATTATTCATACTTTTTTACTAATTTCCCAAAATTATAATAACAAAGATTAGATGCGAATTCCCAGAGAAAAACTTACTCAGATTCATCACTATAAGTATTTTCATCATCAGAAGATGATACATCCAAATCCATGCTCTGTTTTTTGAAAGTCATTCTAACTTTATCAATGTTGAACTGTTCCCTATCTAGCATAATTCTGATATTTCGAAGTTTATTCGAGATGAAACTGCTCTGGCTTACTGTGAGATATTATGCCGATAAATGATCCATATTGATCGTAATAATAAAAATGATTTCCTTATCGGCTTATCGCGTATTTAATAAAAATATTAACCAAAAGCCATATTCTGTGTACATGAAAAGCCATTGATTGATAAGCTTCCCGCTCATAATTTGTGAACTAAGGTGGCTATGAATTTCCTGGTGCTTTCACTCGGTTGCCGGAAACATGATCGAAAACTATTTGATCGAAATCACTTGATCGAACATCATATTTGATCGAAAAATTAAATGATCGAAAAATCAAATGGTCGGAAATCAATTCAGATCGGACTTATAACATAAAAGAAACATATTTGATGAAATCTGCCATTCCCTGAAATGCTTAGCCATTTCACGTATTGCAGGTAAACAGCGTAAACTTCATTTTCAGCCTTTACACTGTTTGCCGGAAGGTTGAGGAAGGGAAATATCCTTCCTGCATGAGCATAAAGAGGAGACTACTTTCCTTAAACAATCTAACCTGACTCGGCCCAAATGAACCTTGATATCTATTATGAAACAAAATGAAAACGGTATTGAAGTTTGATGCGAACAGCCCTTCTGCCCCAAAGTGTTTCAGAAATACATTCTGAGAATTGAAATAGATCGAACGGAATAAATAAATATCAGAGACTTGAGAATAATGAATTTGGTCATAATGTCGATATTTTCTCAAGTTTATGGTCAATCTCGGTCTTTTGAACTTTGATTGATCACCTGGGTCATAATCAACTGCATTTCGAAGAAGCTGATTCTCATGGACCTCAGCTTTTTCGAAAGTCTTGATGTTTTGGTCTCTAATGACTGACACGATTGAAGGGAGTTTCAGATCCCTGGCGATCTGGTTATTCCAAACATACCATTCTCGCGATTTTGTTTTGTAATGTTTGTAATCTGGTGATATGAGATTTAGCTGTGTGACCCCAGACTACTGAAGCATAAAGTAAAATTGGCCTGATAGCCATGATATAAATATTAAATTTTTGTCTCAAACCCAATTTACTTCGTCTGTTTAGAAATGGATACAGGCTCGGATACAGGGCTCCAATGGCTCGTTTAGCTTTTGAAACTTGCTGTTCAATGTGCTGGGGCCAGGTGAGCTTTTTGTCAATGCACACACCTAAGTATTTTACTTGTGAAGACCACTCTAACTCATGACCATCCAGGACTATTTTGGTTCTGGGAGGCCTCCGCTCCCTTCCGAGTGCGACCAATTGTGTTTTTGGTGGATTCAATTTGATCTTCCCTCTTAGGAAGTATAGTCCTGAAGAGAATTCAGTGCGCTTTGGAGGTTCATAGCTGCTTGTCGAATATGCAAGAACTGCCGTATCATCAGCAAAAAGCGACATCTTGCAAGTAATAAGAATGTAACAAGGTGAAAAGAATATTGCTCTTGTTATCTAGTCTGAGAATACGAACTCACTTGTCACATTTAGAGAAAACGGAATGGCTGGGACTGGCCTGAGGGCAACCGGCCGGAATGAGGGCAGCTTGGAGGGAGTCGGGGGTGAGACAGGCGCCCGGCGGGGGGCACGACGCATCCTGGGGGGTACTGGGAGCTGAGCGGGCCCCCGCGCTCCCAAAGTTGCCAGAGGACCTAGAAAAAAAATCATGATTACGAAATGGAATAGTGGAAGTAACAAAGGTGCTACTGGGTACTGGTGGGGGACGTTTGCACGTCAGCAACTAGTCCCTAATGGGACCTTTTTGCAAGCCCCAAGGTGTTTTCAATGACTGATGTGGTTCGCTTAAGAGAACTGGCTAACATTCTTCTCAGGCACCGCATCAGCTCTCTTTCACAGTTTTTCGGCTGTGTTTTGTAGGCTAGTAAAGTACTCACTATCATAGGATGCAGTGGCAGGCCTGCTAGCTATTTTCGTTAACCCCCGTTAGAGACCGAGGTCCACTAAGCAGCTGGCCCGCTCTCACGCTCAGCTGTTAGTTTTCCACACCCACCTACATACACCGTCCTACTTCTTCTCTGATGCTCACAACCACATCATCATGTCTTTCTGCGTGTTCTTTGTAGGCTTTTTTACTGACTCCATGCGCCACTTTAGCAGCAGCACTGTTAATTGGAACATAACAGCGAATCGTGCTGGACTATCCCCAGCCGATGCTTCGAAACTGTACAATATTCAATTCGTATATAAAATATTGAAGAAAGTTCCTTGATCGTACTCGTACGAATCGAACCCACGACCTTGCGGTCGTGAGACGGACGCTCTTACACTTCGCCAATCCCAGCCCAACAAAGGTGCTAAGTGCCATAATAATCCAGTGAATGAAGACACATAGAGGGGGTTCACCTCACAAACGGTCCGGTAGTTCTGAATTTTTGATATGTTATCTAGGATGGTTATTGATTGTTCAAAATGCAAAATGCACAACCCCCCCCCCCTCCGCGCCCCCCGCCATATTGAAAAAACCCAGAGAAATCGGCACTTCCTCCAGATGTTCGCTTATATCTTCATTTTAGTGCATTTTAGCTACCAATGAGTTTCATTTAATGTTGTAGAGGATTAAATTTCTTATAATTCTCGTTTCGAATTTTGTTACTAGGACTGATTGTTACGGAGATATGATTTTTTTTATAAAATAAAAAAACTCATGCAAGCGTCAAATATAGCCACAGACCAAGCTTCCGAAGATGCTGACAGGTTGATAGTTGCCACAGCTAAATGTCTGTCTCCCACGTATACGACGCCGTCATCATTGTCGGACAAGACATTGACCTACTCGTCCTACTGAATGGCACAACACCTGCGGTGAACAATGTCTACTTCAAAAAACCAGCGAGAGGGAAACATCCAGACGCAATCTACTCCGCCTCCTACAAGTACAACTCCAAAGGCTGTATCTTTGCAATATCGCGCTGCGACATCACATCTAACATTTTTGGGTACGGAAACAATAAATTCTGCCAACTTTTTAGGACAGACCAATCATTGCTGGAGCAAGCGGAGAGATTCGAGGACCCTGCTGCCAGTCCCCAAGAAATTTCAGCAGCAGGGGAGAGAATCTTGAAATCCCTGTATGGTGGCAGTAAAGAACCATCGTTGAGCTCCCTTCGCTATAGCAGATTGAAAACAAGTACCACCAAACTCAATCTGGCTGAACTACCTCCGACCACTGACTCCTCCCAACTAGCATTTTCAGTCACAGGCACCATGGTTCAAGGAACTATTACCTATATTTAGTGATAATAACGTATTTATCACTTATTTCAGAACTTCATAGTATAAAATGTCAGTGATAGTTATTTAGTGAGTGAAAATTACGTAGTTTTTACACTAGATAATAACTTCAAAGTGAGAAATTCTCATGGCTTATTGCGAAGTAACTATTTCGAAACTGTCACTCCTCAAAACTACTCTTAAGGTTTCGGAACTTTGGATATATTATTACGGTAACGCTTACCACCCCAAGAAGGCTCCACAGTTGCAATTACTCTATGGTCACCAATTAGGTTTCTACGACGTTGTCGTTACTTGATCGATCACCTAATAATTTAGTCAATTCTTGGTGATATTTCAAGTAACATATTGGTAATTCCTACTCAAACAATTCCTTCATAGTTGAAACAACTTTTCGGTAATTATATTCAGTTGAAGTTACCAATACATAGGTTATCATAACTGACGAGTTCCAAAAGTAACTTTCTGATTCATTTTCGATTGGAAGCCATATTGATTGATGTGATAACCATTTGAACAGGAAATAATTTTGGTTTTTCTTGTTGATAAACATCATTTTATGAAGAATAATAGCATTCGTTCGATCACAAATTGCATAATAATGGAAATTAACATGATTTACGATGATTTTTGAAAAATAGCCGGATGAAATAAAACCATATTTTTGGTGAAATGAGCCGTATTTTGTGGGCGCATCTTGAATTTCGAGGCAAAATCATCACATTTATCGAAAAACTGAATGTTGTTCGAATTTTTCAAGTTCGAGTATCAATTATTTCGCGTGTTTGTCCTTGTATTATTTATTGAATGGTTAGGCATATTGGACTTGTTCATTTTTCGTGAATGTGAACTTCATGGATGAAATGAAGAATAATAAAGAGAGAAAATAATATTTTTATGAAGTGGAAAAGAAATAGAAAGTCAGGTAGGAAAATTTACTACATCTTTACGTAATTTCGACGTCGACGGGTCGTAAGCATTACGTAATTGTGTGAGTTCCCGCTACGTCGGCAAACCGTAATAATTAGTCGTGATTTGTTCCCCATTTTGGTCGTAAATACGTAGTAACGACGTAATTATAACGTAACCGCAACTAGTAAATATTACTTAATAGTCGACCCAATAGTCGTAATTACGTAATCGCGACTATAAATGCTAGTTGGGCTCACATTTCCACTTCCTGAGGACATACCACCAGGTCATGGAGTGGATGGGGATTGTCACCCTATCGAGTGGGGTTCGTGTAGAAAAGCTGGAAGACTGGAGCCCATCAGGATGAGTATAGACGCTGCTCCCCCAAACCTGCTCAAGAGGATCTCATGCAGATTCACAACTGGCTGTATGGGAGCGTGTGGCTGTAGAAAAGCGGGCCTACATTGTTCCGCACTTTGCAAATTCTGTGCTGGCCAAGAATGCAATAACAGGGATGAAGTCATCGTCGACAACGAAGACGATGCCGATCTAGTAACTACTTCACAATTTGATGAAAATGAAGACACAGACTTGAATAACTCACCCCTTACGAAACGAGCGAAGCGCATGTGAATGTTTCCTTTACAGTTCTCATTTCAATTACTACTTCTTAAGCATCGCGCTGTGTCATGTAAAAATTCAAAGTAGGATTAGTATAAACTCCAAATTCGAGCTAAAACTGGGAAATAGTGGATATTTTTAGATACAATGTGGAGTCACAATAGCCAAAAAAGCAATATGCCGTTGTTTTAACTTTCATTTTCACCCCCCATTCCGTAGGGTTGGTGAAAAAAATTGTACATGCATTCCTGTAGGTAATCAAATTCCCTACAAATCTTCTTCCTATACTTGTTTCCCTAGAATAGGCCATAAGTGAACTACAGCGTTCTAAAGTGAGAAGTTTGACAAATTTCCGGAAAATGCGATTTTTGAAATTTTTTCAAAAAGTGCATATTTCCATAACTATCAGCTTTAGGATCAAAATTCAAAACGTGACTTATAGGAAATTCAATCCTCTACAATACTTAATGGGAATCTTTTGTAGCTAAAATGCACCATAACGATAATATAAGCGAAAATCTGGAGAAAGTTCCGATTTTTTTCGGTTTTTTCAATATGGCAGTGGGCGCGAAGAAGAGGAAATTGTGCATTTTGCATTTTAAACACTCCATAACCATCCTAGATGACAAAAATATCAAAAATTCAGAACTACCGGACCGTTTGTAAGGTGAACGTCCTCTATTCACTGGATTATAATCTCATGAACTGAGGTATTGCCGTTGAACCGAGCGTTGAACAGTGTTGGACAGTGTTGAACATGCTTCCTGACCAGACAAAATCTGTATGTGTAAGTACCATGAGTAATATTATTGTTCAAGTTCAGTGGAACTGCGCATGCTTCTGATTGTTTCGGAATGTTCATTTTTCGAACCCCGAACAAACCTACTCATATTCAGGTAATAATTTGAGAAAATAAAAAATAGCTAAAATTTGTACCTTATCATCAATATAATCGTGAGATTCTCTTTTATAACAGTTGAATACGATAATACCTCGGATAATACAAACAAATGTAACAGGAAGGATCCTGGTCAGTTTTGGCAGAAACTAATTTTATCAAACAATTATGGTGGAAATATTTTCAATTTCCTCCGAAATAGATTTCACCCACTTCGTTTTCAAGCGATTGCTCTAGACACTACGATGCACATAATATATTCATAAGTCATCAAGTAGGTGATCAAAATTATCACTGTTCCGCATCCTCTGTTTACATCGTTGGAAGCCGAGTTGGAAGCAAATACACAAATTATCTACGTGGACTAGTGAAATAATCATTAGTAATGGACAATGGACATTATAACATCGGCATGATTATGTAAAAGTACTTGTGCTAATAGAAACGATGGAGATTATAAAATAGAATGAAATAATTAATTCATGAAAAAATATATTAATTGCCACATCGCTGATTTATTTTCTCAAGGATAAAAGTCGTAACCATTCGTAACTCAAGTTCCTTCGCCATTCTGTATGGGAATTGGTGAGAGTGAAATAGGAATTTAATACTTTGGATCCTAATTCTCACTGGAAAGTGGAGATTTCTATAAACCAATTACACCTAGAACGTAGTGTTTCAATAATGTCTCTTGGAATTCCTCATCAATTAATATCTTCCCAAATAAGTACAATTTGGCGATCTATAAGAGCAGGATCCGCCAATATCTGTCCCCATACAGGGTGATAACTTTTGTATTCCCTCTCAAAATTAGTGTACAAAAGTTCCAGCCGTTTCGGATTCAGTTTCAAGGCTGTTTTCTTCTTATATTTCTAGTCTAGCTATTCACCAAACTTGTAAGTTGAAAGTCTGAAATTGTCTTTCGTCAATACACTATCAGACGCATACTGCTGGATCTCAAGACGAATA